TGGAGGATTGGTGGAAAGGGAGATGCGGATAGGGGGAAAGGGAGTGGAGGATTGGTGGAAAGGGAGATGCGGATAGGGGGAAAGGGTGTGGAGGATTGGTGGAAAGGGAGATGCGAATAGGGGGAAAGGGAGGGAGTGGAGGATTGGTGGAAAGGGAGATGCGGATAGGGGGAAAGGGAGTGGAGGATTGGTGGAAAGGGAGATGCGGATAGGGGGAAAGGGTGTGGAGGATTGGTGGAAAGGGAGATGCGGATAGGGGGAAAGGGAGTGGAGGATTGGTGGAAAGGGAGATGCGGATAGGGGGAAAGGGAGTGGAGGATTGGTGGAAAGGGAGATGCGGATAGGGGGAAAGGGAGTGGAGGATTGGTGGAAAGGGAGATGCGGATAGGGGGAAAGGGTGTGGAGGATTGGTGGAAAGGGAGATGCGGATAGGGGGAAAGGGAGTGGAGGATTGGTGGAAAGGGAGATGCGGATAGGGGGAAAGGGAGTGGAGGATTGGTGGAAAGGGAGATGCGGATAGGGGGAAAGGGAGTGGAGGATTGGTGGAAAAGGAGATGCGGATAGGGGGAAAGGGAGTGGAGGATTGGTGGAAAGGGAGATGCGGATAGGGGGAAAGGGGGTGGAGGATTGGTGGAAAGGGAGATGCGGATAGGGGGAAAGGGAGTGGAGGATTGGTGGAAAGGGAGATGCGGATAGGGGGAAAGGGAGTGGAGGATTGGTGGAAAGGGAGATGCGGATAGGGGGAAAGGGAGTGGAGGATTGGTGGAAAGGGAGATGCGGATAGGGGGAAAGGGAGTGGAGGATTGGTGGAAAGGGAGATGCGGATAGGGGGAAAGGGAGTGGAGGATTGGTGGAAAGGGAGATGCGGATAGGGGGAAAGGGAGTGGAGGATTGGTGGAAAGGGAGATGCGGATAGGGGGAAAGGGAGTGGAGGATTGGTGGAAGGGAGATGCGGATAGGGGGAAAGGGAGTGGAGGATTGGTGGAAAGGGAGATGCGGATAGGGGGAAAGGGAGTGGAGGATTGGTGGAAAGGGAGATGCGGATAGGGGGAAAGGGAGTGGAGGATTGGTGGAAAGGGAGATGCGGATAGGGGGAAAGGGAGTGGAGGATTGGTGGAAAGGGAGATGCGGATAGGGGGAAAGGGAGTGGAGGATTGGTGGAAAGGGAGATGCGGATAGGGGGAAAGGGAGTGGAGGATTGGTGGAAAGGGAGATGCGGATAGGGGGAAAGGGAGTGGAGGATTGGTGGAAAGGGAGATGCGGATAGGGGGAAAGGGAGTGGAGGATTGGTGGAAAGGGAGATGCGGATAGGGGGAAAGGGAGTGGAGGATTGGTGGAAAGGGAGATGCGGATAGGGGAAAGGGAGTGGAGGATTGGTGGAAAGGGAGATGCGGATAGGGGGAAAGGGAGTGGAGGATTGGTGGAAAGGGAGATGCGGATAGGGGGAAAGGGGGTGGAGGATTGGTGGAAAGGGAGATGCGGATAGGGGGAAAGGGGGTGGAGGATTGGTGGAAAGGGAGATGCGGATAGGGGGAAAGGGAGTGGAGGATTGGTGGAAAGGGAGATGCGGATAGGGGGAAAGGGAGTGGAGGATTGGTGGAAAGGGAGATGCGGATAGGGGGAAAGGGAGTGGAGGATTGGTGGAAAGGGAGATGCGGATAGGGGGAAAGGGAGTGGAGGATTGGTGGAAAGGGAGATGCGGATAGGGGGAAAGGGAGTGGAGGATTGGTGGAAAGGGAGATGCGGATAGGGGGAAAGGGTGTGGAGGATTGGTGGAAAGGGAGATGCGGATAGGGGGAAAGGGGGGAGTGGAGGATTGGTGGAAAGGGAGATGCGGATAGGGGGAAAGGGAGTGGAGGATTGGTGGAAAGGGAGATGCGGATAGGGGGAAAGGGAGTGGAGGGGGGGGGGGGGGGGGGAAGGGAGTGGAGGATTGGTGGAAAGGGAGATGCGGATAGGGGAAAGGGAGTGGAGGATTGGTGGAAAGGGAGATGCGGATAGGGGGAAAGGGAGTGGAGGATTGGTGGAAAGGGAGATGCGGATAGGGGGAAAGGGAGTGGAGGATTGGTGGAAAGGGAGATGCGGATAGGGGGAAAGGGAGTGGAGGATTGGTGGAAAGGGAGATGCGGATAGGGGGAAAGGGAGTGGAGGATTGGTGGAAAGGGAGATGCGGATAGGGGGAAAGGGAGTGGAGGATTGGTGGAAAGGGAGATGCGGATAGGGGGAAAGGGAGTGGAGGATTGGTGGAAAGGGAGATGCGGATAGGGGGAAAGGGAGTGGAGGATTGGTGGAAAGGGAGATGCGGATAGGGGGAAAGGGAGTGGAGGATTGGTGGAAAGGGAGATGCGGATAGGGGGAAAGGGAGTGGAGGATTGGTGGAAAGGGAGATGCGGATAGGGGGAAAGGGAGTGGAGGATTGGTGGAAAGGGAGATGCGGATAGGGGGAAAGGGAGTGGAGGATTGGTGGAAAGGGAGATGCGGATAGGGGGAAAGGGAGTGGAGGATTGGTGGAAAGGGAGATGCGGATAGGGGGAAAGGGAGTGGAGGATTGGTGGAAAGGGAGATGCGGATAGGGGGAAAGGGAGTGGAGGATTGGTGGAAAGGGAGATGCGGATAGGGGGAAGGGAGTGGAGGATTGGTGGAAAGGGAGATGCGGATAGGGGGAAAGGGTGTGGAGGATTGGTGGAAAGGGAGATGCGGATAGGGGGAAAGGGAGTGGAGGATTGGTGGAAAGGGAGATGCGGATAGGGGGAAAGGGAGTGGAGGATTGGTGGAAAGGGAGATGCGGATAGGGGAGGTGGGAAAGGGAGATGCGGATAGGGGGAGGGGTGGAGGATTGGTGGAAAGGGAGATGCGGATAGGGGGAAAGGGAGTGGAGGATTGGTGGAAAGGGAGATGCGGATAGGGGGAAAGGGAGTGGAGGATTGGTGGAAAGGGAGATGCGGATAGGGGGAAAGGGAGTGGAGGATTGGTGGAAAGGGAGATGCGGATAGGGGGAAAGGGAGTGGAGGATTGGTGGAAAGGGAGATGCGGATAGGGGGAAAGGGAGTGGAGGATTGGTGGAAAGGGAGATGCGGATAGGGGAAAGGGTGTGGAGGATTGGTGGAAAGGGAGATGCGGATAGGGGGAAAGGGAGTGGAGGATTGGTGGAAAGGGAGATGCGGATAGGGGGAAAGGGAGTGGAGGATTGGTGGAAAGGGAGATGCGGATAGGGGGAAAGGGAGTGGAGGATTGGTGGAAAGGGAGATGCGGATAGGGGGAAAGGGAGTGGAGGATTGGTGGAAAGGGAGATGCGGATAGGGGAAAGGGAGTGGAGGATTGGTGGAAAGGGAGATGCGGATAGGGGGAAAGGGAGTGGAGGATTGGTGGAAAGGGAGATGCGGATAGGGGGAAAGGGAGTGGAGGATTGGTGGAAAGGGAGATGCGGATAGGGGGAAAGGGAGTGGAGGATTGGTGGAAAGGGAGATGCGGATAGGGGGAAAGGGAGTGGAGGATTGGTGGAAAGGGAGATGCGGATAGGGGGAAAGGGAGTGGAGGATTGGTGGAAAGGGAGATGCGGATAGGGGGAAAGGGAGTGGAGGATTGGTGGAAAGGGAGATGCGGATAGGGGGAAAGGGAGTGGAGGATTGGTGGAAAGGGAGATGCGGATAGGGGGAAAGGGAGTGGAGGATTGGTGGAAAGGGAGATGCGGATAGGGGGAAAGGGAGTGGAGGATTGGTGGAAAGGGAGATGCGGATAGGGGGAAAGGGAGTGGAGGATTGGTGGAAAGGGAGATGCGGATAGGAGGAAAGGGAGTGGTGAACAGGGGGCAAGGCAGAGGAGATTTGGGGGAAAGGGAGAGGGGGATAGGGGGAAAGGGATATGTGGATGTGGTCATATAGTGGGCAGGATAAGGGGTTTCTGGGAGAGGAGGTTAGGGGGAAAGGGGGTGGAGGCTATGGGGCAAAGGCGAGGAGGCGAGGGGGGTACGTAGAACAGGGAGGTGGTTACCGGTCAGGTGGCCGGGAATACATTAGGTTTGTATGTGTGGAATTTATCGGGTTGGCTTGTAGCCGACCTCTAGCGCCGGGGACCATCTAGTCGCCTCCGCACGCCTATTCTCTGTTTTCTAAGTCCCCCACCCTTGCACCCCCCCGCCGATCCCCTGCTCCCCATCGCTCCTAAGTCGGCCATTTTGCGGCGCCTCTCCCAGCTCTCTCCTGTGGCTGGTCTCGGTTGCTTTTGAGGCTCCACTCTAAAGTGGCCCATGCAATGGGCAGCCTAATCGCACTGCAGCGGGCAGTGCGTGTCTTGGCGGAGCGTGGAGCAAGTTTGTGGTAGCGCCGCCGTGTTAGCGCGTGTCCTTAGGTGGCGCAGCGCTGGCCTGTAAGTACTGCCTACCGGATCTCGTTTTTGATCTCTTCGCGGTGATTTATCCCCATCGCGGGTTCCGGTGTTTCCAATCGCGTCACGGTGATTATCGAGGGACATCGCATTTGGCTGGATAACTACAGTTTCCGGCACTGCGGTCGGTTATCTATGGATGTGTGACCCGTCGCCCGTTTGTTACCTTTTGAAGCCCGGCTAGGTGTCTGCAGCGTGCTCTAATCCGTTTACTTGCTACCACCGAGACGCTGGTTTGGGCTGTGGAAACCCGCACCCGAACAAAACGCTCACTTGTGAACTCGGTCTTCTCTGCGCTTCTAGCCGTTTCCGACTTTCTCGCCTCGCTGGACTCCATTGCCACAGTCCGATAGACTAAGTTTTTCAGTTGTCGGGCCTGTTTTGGTTATGCTCCCAAGCGTGACCTGCAGGACGTGTGTAGGTTCAGAAGTCTGCTGGCATGGTGTTTCGCATTGTGAATTCGCAAAATGGGTCGCAGTGTTGCTGCGACCCAATTCGCGATTGCCGTTATTTCGTCCCACTCGCCCAACTCCTCTGCAGCACTCGTCCCTCGCCACCCAATCCTGGTCCGTCTACCCAACCGAGTGTTTTACACTCGGTAAACTTGGGTCCCTGGCTTTAAGTTCGGAATCTAGTGTGCAGGTTGCGCGGAATGCGGAGACCGCGGCGATGCAGCAACTCCGCTTTGGCGGCTAGTGGTGCTGTTTTGTTCCGTTATTAGGCTACAGGTGGTCGCACAAATAAGCCCCCCCCCCCGCGTTAAGCCTCACTGGAAATTTCGCCAACAGCATTTCAGGCAGCGCGTTATGAGCTGAATCTTATGCAGCGCTGAGCCTTGCCGCGCTGTAGTCGTCGCCGCGACCGTTGCAGCCTGGCTGCCGCTGACTAATCGTTCCACAGAGGTCTTCTTCCCACGGTTGCCGCGATGAAATTCCGAATCGAAGACCTCGACGTGTACTTCCCGTACGAGTACATCTACCCGGAACAGTACGAGTACATGGTGGAGTTGAAACGCACGCTCGACGCCAAGGGCCACTGCCTGCTCGAGATGCCTACAGGAACCGGCAAGACTATCACGCTGCTGTCTTTAATCACCTCCTACCAGATGGCGCGCAAGGGCACGGGGAAGTTAATTTACTGCACGCGCACGGTGCACGAGATGGAGAAGGCGCTCGCGGAGCTGCGCCTGCTGCACGCCTACCAGCAGACCGCGCTCGCGGGGGAAGCCGCCGCCGGCGCACCCGCTAGGGCGGGGGGAAACGGCGCGGAGGGGAAGGGGGGGGGGGCCTTCCGCGGATCCTAGCACTGGGGCTGAGCTCGCGCAAGAACCTGTGCATTCACCCCGTGGTGGCGGGGGAGGGGTCGCGGGAGAGCGTGGATGCGGGGTGCCGCAAGCGCACGGCGTCGTGGGTGCGCGCCGCGGCCATGGAAAATCCGGATATCGAGGTCTGCACATACTTTGACCAGTTTGACCGCAAAGGACAAGAAGCCGCCCTGCCGCCCGGCGTGTACACGCTGCAGGACCTGCGCGCATTCGGCCGGGAGAAAGGGTGGTGCCCGTATTTTTTGGCGCGGCATATGATTAATTTCGCGAATGTTGTGGTGTACAATTATCAATACTTGCTGGATCCGAAGGTGTCGGGGATTATATCGAGGGAGCTTGAAAGGGAGAGCATAGTGGTGTTCGACGAGGCGCACAACATAGACAACGTGTGCATCGAGGCTTTAAGCGTCAACGTGCGGCAGCAGACGATTGATGGCGCGCATAGGAACCTGGCCCGTCTTAATACGACCATTGAGAGGTGAGGGGGGATAGGGGAAAGGAAGGTGGGATATGGGAATGGGAGAGAGAGCAGGGATGGGGGAGAGTGGGGTTGGATAGGGGAGAGAGAGCAGGGATGGGGGAGAGTGGGGTTGGATAGGGGAGAGAGAGCAGGGATGGGGGAGAGTGGGGTTGGATAGGGGAGAGAGAGCAGGGATGGGGGAGAGTGGGGTTGGATAGGGGATAGAGAGCAAGCGCACCATCAGTGGTGCTCAGGAGCCTGGCCCGGCTTTGCATGGCCGTTGAGAGGTGAGGGGCGAGAGTGCAGGAGAAGGGGGGAGGAGTGCAGCGATAGAGGGGCGAAGGAGGGAGAAGGAGGACAGGGAGAAGGAAAGGGAGCGTTTGTTTCTCTTCGTCGCACTCCTTCTGAGCCTTCTTAGTCTTCTCTGTTCCTGTGTGTGCATGTGTGGGTGTGCATGTGTGTGTGTGCATGTGTGTGTGTGCATGTGTGGGTGGCATGTGTGGGTGTGCATGTGTGGGTGTGCATGTGTGGGTGTGCATGTGTGGGTGTGCATGTGTGGGTGTGCATGTGTGGGTGTGCATGTGTGTGTGTGCATGTGTGGGTGTGCATGTGTGTGTGTGCATGTGTGGGTGTGCATGTGCGGGTGTGCATGTGTGGGTGTGCATGTGTGGGTGTGCATGTGCGGGTGTGCATGTGTGTGTGTGCATGTGTGTGTGTGCATGTGTGTGTGTGCATGTGTGTGTGTGCATGTGTGGGTGTGCATGTGTGGGTGTGCATGTGTGTGTGCATGTGTGTGGGTGTGCATGTGTGTGTGTGCATGTGTGGGTGTGCATGTGTGGGTGTGCATGTGTGTGTGTGCATGTGTGGGTGTGCATGTGTGGGTGTCCATGTGCGTGTGTGCATGTGTGGGTGTGCATGTGTGGGTGTGCATGTGTGTGTGCATGCGCACGTCCATGCACCCATCCGTCAGGTTTAAAGCAACGGATGCTGAGAGGCTCAGAGAGGAGTACCGGCGGCTGGTGGATGGGCTTGCACAGAGAGGCAACCTGCCAGGTGATTCTAACAGAAAGACAGTAACCAGGTGGATCGAACAGGAAATCAATGTAGCCAGGTGATACCAACAGAAGTAGCTAGGTCCTTGCGATGCGGGTGTGCCTGCATTTATGGTCGCTTATCCTTGCTCCTCTCATCCCGGAGTCTAGCCTCCTTATGCCACGCTTAATCATATCGCCAGTACCCTTATCATGAGGATTCTCTCGTCGCCTCTTACAATATACCCCTTACAAGATACCCCTTACTATCCACATGCCTTACCTTGTCGTCCATACCCCCCCTCACCCCTCGCTCCCTCCTCTCTTCCGCAGTTGCCCCTTCACCCATTCACACCTCCCCGCAGCTGTTGCCCCACCACCTCCACCCCATCCCTTAGGGCGTTTCACATCTAAGTCAGCTTGGTTGGAGGCATATTTGAGAATTCTAGACAATGAGCCTATCTCCCCGCCCGCACCCCCCTTACCCTCTCTCCCTCTGCTCCCCTCCCCTCCCGCTCCTCCAGTCAGCATGTTCTTGCATGGTTGGCCATCCCAGCATGGCTGGCCACCCCAGCACTGCATGGCTGGCCACCGCAGCACTGCATGGCTGGCCACCGCAGCACTGCATGGCTGGCCACCCCAGCACTGCATGGCTGGCCACCGCAGCACTGCATGGCTGGCCACCGCAGCACTGCATGGCTGGCCACCCCAGCACTGCATGGCTGGCCACCGCAGCACTGCATGGCAGGCCACCGCAGCACTGCATGGCTGGCCACCCCAGCACTGCATGGCTGGCCACCGCAGCACTGCATGGCTGGCCACCCAGCACTGCATGGCTGCCACCGCAGCACTGCATGGCTGGCCACCCCAGCACTGCATGGCTGGCCACCACAGCACTGATGGCTGGCCACCCCAGCACTTGGCCCCCCAGCACTGCATGGCTGGCCACCCCAGCACTGCATGGCTGGCCACCGCATGGCCCCCCCACTCATGGCTGGCCACCCCAGCACTGCATGGCTGGCCACCCGCCAGAGCACTGCATGGCTGGCCACCCCAGCACTGCATGGCTGGCCACCCAGCACTGCATGGCTGGCCACCCCAGCACTGCATGGCTGGCCACCCAGCACTGCATGGCTGGCCACCCCAGCACTGCATGGCTGGCCACCCCACGCACTGCGCATGGGCTGGCCACCCAGCACTGCATGGCTGGCCACCCCAGCACTGCATGGCTGGCCACCCCAGCACTGCATGGCTGGCCACCCCAGCACTGCATGGCTGGCCACCCCAGCACTGCATGGCTGGCCACCCCAGCACTGCATGGCTGGCCACCCCCAGCACTGCATGGCTGGCCACCCCAGCACTGCATGGCTGGGCCACCGCAGCACTGCATGGCTGGCCACCGCCAGCACTGCATGGGCTGGCCACCCCAGCACTGCATGGCTGGCCACCGCAGCACTGAGGCCAACTGCATGGCTGGGCCACCGCAGCACTGCATGGCTGGCCACCGCAGCACTGCATGGCTGGCCACCCCAGCACGCATGGCTGCCACCGCAGCACTGCATGGCTGGCCACCCAGCACTGCATGGCTGGCCACCCCAGCACTGCATGGCTGGCCACCCCGCACTGCAGGCTGGCCACCCAGCACTGCATGGCTGGCCACCCAGCACTGCATGGCTGGCCACCCAGCACTGCATGGCTGGCCACCCAGCACTGCATGGCTGGCCACCCCAGCACTGCATGGCTGGCCACCCCAGCACTGCATGGCTGGCCACCCCAGCACTGCATGGCTGGCCACCCCAGCACTGCATGGCTGGCCACCCCAGCACTGCATGGCTGGCCACCGCAGCACTGCATGGCTGGCCACCCCCCCCCACCCCAGCCTGCATGGCTGGCACCGCAGCACTGGCATGGCTGGCCACCCCAGCACTGCATGGCTGGCCCCCCAGCACTGCATGGCTGGCCACCCAGCATGCATGGCTGGCCACGCACTGCATGGCTGGCCACCGCCAGCACTGCATGGCTGGCCACCGCAGCACTGCATGCCCCACCCAGCACTGCATGGCGGCACCGCCAGCACTGCATGGCTGGCCACCCCAGCACTGCATGGCTGGCCACCGCAGCACTGCATGGCTGGCCCACCCAGCACTGCATGGCTGGCCACCCCAGCACTGCATGGCTGGCCACCGCCAGCACTGCATGGCTGGCCACCAGCACTGCATGGCTGGCCCCAGCACTGCATGGCTGGCCACCCCAGCACTGCATGGCTGGCCACCGCAGCACTGCATGGCTGGCCACCCCAGCACTGGCATGGCTGGCCACCGCAGGCAGCTGCATGGCTTGGCCACCCCAGCACTGCATGGCTGGCCACCCCCGCACTCAGGCAGCACACTGCATGGCTGGCCACCCCCAGCACTGCATGGCTGGCCACCCCAGCACTGCATGGCTGGCCACCCCAGCACTGCATGGCTGGCCACCCCAGCACTGCATGGCTGGCCACCCCAGCACTGCATGGCTGGCCACCCAGCACTGCATGGCTGGCCACCCCAGCACTGCATGGCTGGCCACCCCAGCACTGCATGGCTGGCCACCCCAGCACTGCATGGCTGGCCACCCGCAGCACTGCATGGCTGGCCACCCCAGCACTGCATGGCTGGCCACCCCAGCCATGCATCTGGCCACCCCAGCACTATGGCTGGCCACCCCAGCACTGCATGGCTGGCCACCCAGCACTGCATGGCTGGCCACCCCAGCACTGCATGGCTGGCCACCCCCAGCACTGCATGGCTGGCCACCGCAGCACTGCATGGCTGAAGCAGCACTCGCCAGCACTGCATGGCTGGCCACCCCCAGCACTGCATGGCTGGCCACCCAGCACTGCATGGCTGGCCACCCCACACTGCATGGCTGGCCATCGCCCAGCACTGCATGGCTGGCCACCCCAGCACTGCATGGCTGGCCACCCCAGCACTGCATGGCTGGCCACCCCAGCACTGCATGGCTGGCCACCCCAGCACTGCATGGCTGGCCACCCCAGCACTGCATGGCTGGCCACCCCAGCACTGCATGGCTGGCCACCCCAGCACTGCATGGCTGGCCACCCCAGCACTGCATGGCTGGCCACCCCAGCACTGCATGGCTGGCCACCCCAGCACTGGCATGGCTGGCCACCCCAGCACTGCATGGCTGGCCACCCCAGCACTGCATGGCTGGCCACCCCAGCACTGCATGGCTGGCCACCACCCCAGCACTGCATGGCTGGCCACCCCAGCACTGCATGGCTGGCCACCCCAGCACTGCATGGCTGGCCACCCCCAGCACTGCATGGCTGGCCCCCCAGCACTGCATGGCTGGCCACCGCAGCACTGCATGGCTGGCCACCCCAGCACTGCATGGCTGGCCACCCCAGCACTGCATGGCTGGCCACCCAGCACTGCATGGCTGCCACCCCAGCACTCATGGCTGGCCACCCCAGCACTGCATGGCTGGCCACCCCAGCACTGCATGGCTGGCCACCCCAGCACTGCATGGCTGGCCACCCCAGCACTGCATGGCTGGCCACCCCCAGCACTGCATGGCTGGCCACCCCAGCACTGCATGGCTGGCCACCCCAGCACTGCATGGCTGGCCACCCCAGCACTGCATGGCTGGCCACCCCAGCACTGCATGGCTGGCCACCCCAGCCACTGGCATGGCTGGCCACCCCAGCACTGCATGGCTGGCCACCGCAGCACTGCATGGCTGGCCACCCCAGCACTGCATGGCTGGCCACCCCAGCACTGCATGGCTGGCCACCCCAGCACTGCATGGCTGGCCACCGCAGCACTTGCATGGCTGGCCACCCCAGCACTGCATGGCTGGCCACCCCAGCACTGCATGGCTGGCCACCCCAGCACTGCATGGCTGGCCACCCCAGCACTGCATGGCTGGCCACCCCAGCACTGCATGGCTGGCCACCCCAGCACTGCATGGCTGGCCACCCCAGCACTGCATGGCTGGCCACCCCAGCACTGCATGGCTGGCCACCCCAGCACTGCATGGCTGGCCACCCCAGCACTGCATGGCTGGCCACCCAGCACTGCATGGCTGGCCACCCAGCACTGCATGGCTGGGCCACCCCCAGCACTGCATGGCTGGCCACCCCAGCACTGCATGGCTGGCCACCCCAGCACTGCATGGCTGGCCACCCCAGCACTGCATGGCTGGCCACCCCAGCACTGCATGGCTGGCCACCCCAGCACTGCATGGCTGGCCACCCCAGCACTGCATGGCTGGCCACCCCAGCACTGCATGGCTGGCCCAGCCTGGCACAGCACTGCATGGCTGGCCACCCCAGCACTGCATGGCTGGCCACCCCAGCACTGCATGGCTGGCCACCCCAGCACTGCATGGCTGGCCACCCCAGCACTGCATGGCTGGCCACCCCAGCACTGCATGGCTGGCCACCGCAGCACTGCATGGCTGGCCACCCCAGCACTGCATGGCTGGCCACCCCAGCACTGCATGGCTGGCCACCCCAGCACTGCATGGCTGGCCACCCCAGCACTGCATGGCTGGCCACCCCAGCACTGCATGGCTGGCCACCCCAGCACTGCATGGCTGGCCACCCCAGCACTGCATGGCTGGCCACCGCAGCACTGCATGTCTGGCCACCCCAGCACTGCATGGCTGGCCACCCCAGCACTGCGTGGCTGGCCACCCCAGCACTGCGTGGCTGGCCACCCCAGCACTGCATGGCTGGCCACCCCAGCACTGCATGGCTGGCCACCCCAGCACTGCATGGCTGGCCACCCCAGCACTGCATGGCTGGCCACCCCAGCACTGCATGGCTGGCCACCCCAGCACTGCATGGCTGGCCACCCCAGCACTGCATGGCTGGCCACCGCAGCACTGCATGGCTGGCCACCCCAGCACTGCATGGCTGGCCACCCCAGCACTGCATGGCTGGCCACCCCAGCACTGCATGGCTGGCCACCCCAGCACTGCATGGCTGGCCACCGCAGCACTGCATGGCTGGCCACCCCA